ATAAATATAGATCCATATGTATGTTTTTAAAAAGCTGGCAGAATATATACCTCAATATTCACATTGGCTTCCTGTGAGTATTGGGATAATAGGTGAATTACTTTCATCTCTGGGCTTATCTACATTTTTATAAAATGAACATGTTCTACAAATACAAGAGGGCTTCAAAAAGTTCATGGAAAATGGAATTAAAAGATAATGTGAGGGACCAGCATTGTGGCACAGTGGGTTAACCCACTACTTTGGACACCTGTAGCCTACATGGAGTCCTGGATACTCCATGCTTCTGATCCAACTTCCTGCTTATGTACCTGGGAGGCAGTGGACAATAGCCCAAATATTCCCACACTTGTGGGAGATCCACATGGAGCTCTTGGCTCTTGGCTCCTGGCTTGGCCTACCTGTGGCTGATGTGGGCATTGAGGGAATGAACCAGTGGATCGAAGATACCATTCTGTTGCACTCTGCCATTTAAATAAATAAATCTTTAGAAACATTATGTGAATTTTCCTCATATTAATGAGGAATGAGAATTAATGGGAATGGTTTATACACCACATACACATATGTACATACACACACAAAAAAACAATTTTCTGAAAAGGTTTTAAAATTTAGAAATGGGATAACAATGTATTATGGATGTAATTATGTATAGTCTAATTTATTAAATAGCACAGAGCCCATGATAGCAGTAAACTGTCACTCTATGCAACACTGGAAATAAAGTTGGCTCTTCAAGTAATTTCTTATATTGCTGAAATTATCATACATAACTACTAGGGTTTTTTCAGTCCCTATCTAAAGCCATCTACTCAGAATGCACAGAAACTACACGCTAAGCACATGAAACTGTGTGTGTAAAATGGAGACACTAACGATACTCCTGGGTTCTTAAAGCTGTAAATACAATAACCTTTCTAAAGCTCCTAGCACAGTGCATGAACATGGCAAACACTCAATAAATGTCAGCTATCTTGGTGGTTATGCTTTTGCTGATAAGCCAAAGAACAGAAGAGCGCTATAGAAGAAGATGGTTGTTGATCTAAGGCCTTCCTATCAGCCACCTGGCACACAAGGTTTTAAAACAGCCTTACAATTAAGGTAGGTGCTGTCCAAAGGAATCTTAGGCACAGTGTAATTATATAGTTCATCTCATTCTCCATGCCCATCAAGATTTTAAAGAATGCTGAAAACAGGAAATGAAGCCACAATATCACTCGGTTTTTCTTTAATCATTTTGTTATGTTTATATTACTCAAATGACTGAAATATGAAGAAAATGTTAGAACTTTTGTATTTTCTATTTTTATTTGTGATTACAAACAACTTCAAATTTAGATATGCCCTTTACTACAATACAAAAATCACATTTACAATGCTTCTTTGAAAATATGTCCAGGGGCTGGGGTTGTGGCACACTGAGACCCCAGCATCCCATATCTGAGCACTGGTTTGAGTCTTGGTTACTCTGCCTCTGACCCAGCTCCCTGCTCATTCATCTGGGAAAGCAGTGAAAGATGGCCTTGGTACTAGGGCCTCTGCCACCCATGCGGGAGACTCAGATGGATTTCTAGGCTCCTGGTTTCAGTCTGGCCCTAGCTGTTATATCCATTTGAAGAGTGAATCAGCAAATGGAAGATCTCTTTCTCTGTTTATTCCTCTCTCTGTATCATCCTGTCATTCAAATTAATAAAATAAATCTTTAAAAAAGAATATCAGATCCATTTGGAGACATACACACATCTATTTAAGTGTATTTTAATTATCCGTGTTTGGTAACATTGGAATGGTTAATTTTTTTCAAGGAAAATCATTTTAGTAGGAACCACATTTCTAGATAAGGACCCATTAATCCAGCTATTTCAAAGAACATGGCTTCAAAACACATTTCAAGATCAAGAATGAAGACTTCAGTTAGGCAGCAAGTATGTGAGAGATGCTACAATTATAAGCGATAAGAAAGTGGTTCCAAAATGAGTGGGCTCATCATGATTTAAATTTAGACGTTGGTCTCCCACTCTGACTGAGAGCAGAACTATTTATTTGGAAGGGCAAAAAATCTAGAGGACTTGATGGCAAAAGTTCTTGTTAGCTGGAGAATAAGGATGTCTTCTGCCAAGTACAGTCATTTAAAAAATGCAGTTTGGGGCCACAGCTCACATAGCCACCCAGCCTCTCTGTATCTCATTCTCTGGCCATCTCCTCAGAAGCCCTCAGGCGATTCCTTCTAGGACCCCTGCTGAGGATGGCCCATCATCCTCCTGGCTATTCAGGCCGCCACGTGCTTTATTTATTTATTTATTTGAAATGCAAAGTTGCAGAGAGAGGAGGAGAGATAGAGAGATCTTCCATTTGCTAGTTTACTCTCCAGTGGCCCAAGGGCCAGGGACTAGGCTAGGCTGAATTCAAGAGCCCAGAGCTTCTTCCGTGTCTCTTTCTCTCTCTCTCTATCTCTCATCCTCTGTGACTCTTCCTTTCAAATAATAAATAAATAAATAAATTAATTAATAAAACAAACCTGAATCTAGGGACTAAGAGGTAGCCTGAAGGTGAAAGGACAGAACCAGTTGCGCTTGTGGAGGTAAAAGCCTGGTCTGAGATCTTTGTTGACCCCGACGACAAATTACAAGGTGGTGAAGACACTCAAGATCATGGGCATGGCTTCTGCTCCCCTGAGACTCAAGTACAAAGTCCAGAGAGGGAATATTCTCTGAGGAAACACAGATGTCAAAATGCGAACACTGGGCCACTGCTGTGGCATAGCAGGTAAAGCCTCTGCCCTTGGTGCTGGCATCCCAAATGGGCACCAGTTCAAGTTCTGGCTGATCCAGTTCCCATCCAGCTCCCTGCTAATGCACCTAGGAAAGCAGTGGAAGATGGTCCAAGTGCTTGGGCCTCTGCACCCAAGTGAGATACCTGGATGAAGTTCAACTCCAGCCATCTTGGCCATTTGGGAAGTGAAACAGTGGAAGGTTTCTCTCTCTCTGTGTGTGCATTTCTAACTGTGCCTTTCAAATAAATCTTAAAAAATGTGAACATTTTGCTTTTATTTCAGTTCGAAAATACATAAAACATTGAAGATATCCATTCTAATTTGAACCTCTCTGTACATAAATTAAAATGTAGTGGGTGCTAAGAATCTGTTCGTGACCAAATATGAGTATCTTCTACGCCATGTGTAGCTGTTAAGTAAAGGCTGTAGTTCATTTATTATAAGATACTTTTTTCACATTTTAATGTCTCTGGGTTGTGGATCAAACTGAAAATGAATGACATGTCATGGTTTAATTGATGGGATTTTTTTTCTTAGCACCACTTAAAGTAATGGTGCACATGAAGATGGTGTCTTAGATTTGATGAAGGACTTCATCAAGTGCTGAAGTACTTGATGAAGCGTATTCAACAGAGGTTAAAAATCAAAATGCTATCTAGAGTCATGAGGACCTCACAGATGTTTTACTATTTGTGTGTTATGAGTAGGCTGGAAAATGTTCATGAGGCCTGTTCTGGGGAGCAAAGATGACAGGCTCTACTGGGAGGTTCGTGAGTACAGATGATCAGCCTAATGATGTCATCATTGCCCTGATTCTCAGCCAGGTCCCTCCTGCCTCCCTCCCTTAGATCCTAAAGCTGATCCAGTCTCTTCACATGGAGCTGGAGATCACTCATACACTATAGCCCCAGTAATGTCCAGAACACTAGGTAGGTTTCTTTTTTTTTTTTTCTTTCTTTTTTTTTTTCTGACAGATAGAGTGGACAGTGAGAGAGAGAAAAAGGTCTTCCTTTTTCCATTGGTTCACCCCCCAAAGGCCACTGCGGCTGGCGCACCACACTGATCCGAAGCCAGGAGCCAGGTGCTTCTCCTGGTCTCCCATGCGGGTGCAGGGCCCAAGGACTTGGGCCATCCTCCACTGCACTCCTGGGCCACAGCAGAGAGCTGGACTGGAAGAGGAGCAACCGGGATAGAATCTGGCGCCCCGACCGCGACTAGAACCCAGTGTGCCGGCACCACAGGTGGAGGATTAGCCTAGTGAGCCACGGCGCCGGCCTAGGTATGTTTCTAGGTGTTCTGTTTATTCAAAGTTGCACTGTACTTTTAAAATATTTGTACTCTAAAAAAATTTTGGAACTGGGGCTGTTGCTGTGGCATAGCTGGTAAAGCTGTTCCCTGCAGTGCAGGTATCTCATATGGGCGCCAAATTGTGTCCCAGACACTGCATTTCCAATCCAGCTCCCTGCTAATGTACCTGGGAAAGCAGCAGAAGATGTTCCAAGTCCTAGGGCCCCTGCACCCATGTGGCAGACCTGGAAGAAGCTCCTGGCTCCTGGCTTCAGTCTGGTTCAGCCCTGGTCATTGCAGTCATTTGGGGGAGTGAACCAGCAGATAGAAGATCTCTCTCTCTCTCTCTCTCTCTAACTCTGCATTTCAAATAATAAAATAAACCTTAAAAGAAAATCTGGAGCCTCATAAGACTCATATGAAGTAAGTGAATTTTAAGACTTTTGACTGAAGCATTGTGGTCACTCAGGCTATCATTCAAAAACAGCATTAGTTCTTCCCAGAGGACTTCATACAGGAACAAAGTGTTCGTCAGTACTAAAGAAGATTAACACTAGCAAGTTACTGTTTTAAAAATGAATACATATCCACATTTTATATAAAGATATGTAGAGAAGGCTTAGAAGAGTGTGTCAAGAAGACCAGAGTTTGTATTTCCCCCATCTGTTTTTCTAAGCTCTGCACAGCCAAGTGCATACTATGAAAAGATTATGCATGGATTTCAATTTTTTTGCAACAAAATTAATATCTTTTTTCTTTTTCTATGAATTTTTTGAAGTACTCTTGTATTGCTCTTGCAATAATTGCTCATATTACTCTTGCAGCAATTTAAAAAAGTGAAGATTTTCTTCTTTTTCACAAACTACATGGGGACTATGAAGTACCACTGGAATTGTCAAGGATGCATTTGCTTAATTGTGTCTTTCTGTCGTTACAGGCACGATCCGTCTGGCTAGAAAGCCCAAGTTGGAGTCAGCCATACATGAACCAGCAGGGGCCCCACACTGACATGGATGAAGCAGCTCTTCCCTCCCTACTGACAGAGCTGGGGGCTTCGGCACAGTTCAGTGCTGACACTACACACGTGCATTTACCTTCTCAAGCCAGGCCAAAGAAGGCACAATCTGTTCTGGATTGTGTTCAAAGTGCTGGAGCTGAAGAGTCTCTTATTTGGATGTAACCTCAATCCCTTAAAGCATGAAACCCCCTTAGGACAGACCCTTCCTCAACCCTAACCACACTTGTTCCAAATAAAAAATATTGATAAGCATTATTTGGAAATAAGTGATGTCATAGACAAAATATCCTCTTTTGCTTTGTTGTAATCACAATTGTGGGATATTCTGCCTTCTTTTCCACATATGGAGTAGAAAATTGTAGTTCAGTTTTATGTATTATTCATATACATAACGGTTGATACTTTTCAGGTTCTTTGTTTCCCAAAATCATGCTATTAACATTTTTTGAAATGTAGCTCTTTTCTGTTTTATCTTAGGTGTATATTATCTTATCAACTTTGCAGGGAAAACAGAAACTCTTAGGGTCTGCATTAGTATTTGAAGAGATAAGCTCCCTTTTAGTCCATGCTTAATAATATTATACTACTGTTTAGAAGGAGATAGCAGGCTATGTCTTATACACTTTAATATACTCTTTCATCAAATAATAACATAATTATGATACTAAAAAAACAATAGAACCCATATCAAACTGTTGGCTATGTCCAGTCACTCTATTTTTGCCAACTAAGAATATAGAAAAGCATGCCACAGCCAACATTCCAGTGACTTTAGGAACCTGTACAACCAGTGTCTCTTCATATGTTGCTCAGACAGCATTTTCCCCCCATGATTTCAGAGGGAGGAGACAGGCGACTCAAAAGGAGAATCTACTGGATGTCTGTGAAATTGAGCAGCAGACCCTCTCTAAGCTTCCCTGGTAAATAAAGATGATCATTCCTTCCTCACGGGGCAGCTGAAACTATGAAACAGAATGATGTAGTTATAGGCAAACACTCTGCAAAGCCCCAGGTTGGCATTATTAGTATTGCTTAAGTATGAATATGGAGCACATCAGGCCAGACCTTTTAAATGCGATGCTTTCGAGGGTGCTTAAGCACTCAGGGTAGCCATTAACTGTAGAGGAGAGAGGCTACACACCACTGACCCCAGCATTACAAGCCCCGTCACCAGAATTTTCTGGTCTGCAGGGTCATTCCTATTCAAAGTAACAGGCACATTCTGCCTCTCTCATAGCAAAGGCGTCTGATGTGGCTGACAGCATCTGGTTTTGTAGCAGTAATCATGGGAGCATTCATGGACTGAAGGAGGCTGGTATCCTCTTGGGAAGTTCAGGGAAGTTTTCCCAACTGGGAATCAAAATGCGAAGCAAAATATGATTCAAACAGCTCGGGGCATTAACTGAACACAACACCACAACAACTGGCCAATGGAACACAGATAAACTGTTCCTGTCTCCTCATGCATCTCTAGCTGCTTGTTAACACAGCAATTCCACACCCCAAGTAAGAGAGCCAGACAACTGACCAGACGCCTCCATCACCCTGGCTGTGGGCTGAAGGGTCTGCTCTGTTTGCTGGAAGCAGAAATTCTACTTCCATCAGCTTCTTATTGTGCAGCGACACAGGCAAACAAAGGGGGTTTTCCTGAGCAGCGTGAGTGACAAAGAAATGAGGCAAATTATTGAGAAACTGATGGGCAGTCATTGAAGAGCAACAAACATGATTTATACGTCTGAAGGGACTGCCTTCAGAGGCAAGATGAAAGAGACAAGTCTCCCAGCATGCCCACCCGGCACTAACTAACGCAGACTGGCTCATCGGCCACAAGTACTTGAAGGGTGTAAATAGCAGGGTGGGAGAGAAATTATTTCGTGTGGTCCAAGGGGACAGCAGGAGGAGTGATGGAAATGAAAGTCAAAACAACGATGATTTAGGCAGCTGAGCAAGCCACATGCCCTAATGGAGAGATCTATTATAGACACTGTAGCACCATCCCCAGGGAGGGGTGGCAGCCCCATCACTTGCGCCATTTACAATTGGAAAAGGCACTGAAAAGTAGATCGGTATACTGGAGAGGGAAAAACCACCACAGGCCCTCAGAGGATCAGTGGGATGACATAATAGGTCTTTTCCATCTCAAATTACTGTGATGCGGTTTGTGTGCACAGGGACCTGCTAGAAAATTCTTTTCATCATTTCGACTTCTTTACAGTTACTGCAAGGTCTTGGTGAAGAAACGATAATAGGCAATGGAGAGCAGTTTCTGCATTGTAAACAGGAGCCTACAGTGGATGGGTATGTGAGTGTGAAGGCAGAACAGAATATGGTAAGTTCAGATTATGATTCCAGTGTAAATAAATACACACATATACTAACTGGGACACAAGACAATACCTATATAATGACAGAGACCTAAAACAAATGGTCACATTTGGATGCAGCATGTATAAATGAAAGTTCAAGGAGTTTGTCCTCTAATCCAGAAAATAAATATACAAGTACTTAAAATGTATCTCTTAAAAAAATAAGAAATAACTATATTGTCTTTTAACCAGCAAGAAACACAGACTGTGTAAGAACTTTAGGATCCACATGTTGATTGTGTTTATGCTGCATTTCTGTCCGCAGCTGCAGTTGTAATTAGCAACTGACACATTCTGAAACCCAAGGTGGCCTAGAAGGGCACATGTGGGTACAAGGTTGTGCCAACTTGGACAACTGCAACAGAAAGCAACAGGCACAGTTCGGGCAGATGGAAACTGGGGCATACAGGGAAGGGCTGGTGTGACCGTGATTGCTAGAAGGAGCACAGCTGTGACCATCCCAACCCTTCTCAGCCACAGGATGACACAGAAGCAGAGGACAAAAATGGCAAGAGGGTGGCAGGAGGGAACATCAGCGAAAAAGAAAGCAAAAGAATAGAGAATGGGAAACCCACAGATGTAAGCTCTTTGCAGGTGGAGGGTATCTCAGTTCCTGATAAAAATAGTGAGCGTGGCGGGGTAGAAGTCAGACTTGGTGTTCTGGAAGACTGAAGTTTGCTGCAAACAAATTCAGGGTTTGACCTACAGCTGACAGATATAGGTCAACCCTCAGCCCACTGCTCTCAGCAGCTGTAGCCAATGGAAGGCAGAGCATGCTGGTTTAAGCTGCAGCTAATAGATGGAAATCAACCTAACCCCATTTCCTGCCCCTGCTGTCCTCACTTGTCTGTTCATGGCCAATTCAGGCACAGGTCGAGCTGCCCGCCTGCTGGAACTGCTCAGACTGATGAGTGGAATCTGTTGCTGACATAAATATTCCCATCCCATCTAGGTGAAAGTTAGATCTCTAGGCCTCTAAAAGGAATACAATGTGCAATATAATTCTTGCTCATTAGCCTAAGTGCTAGCCTCAGTTCACAGAACCAAAAGAGACTTTAATGATCCTTCACTTCAAAATTCAGAGGAAATCTCCAAAGGGGGAAATCCATGACAGAGGTCTGTTTTAAGACAGGATTCAGCAACAGTTAAGTGACTCGGCCCAGGTTCTTAAGAGAGGTGATGGTGAAGGCAGAAAGAAAACTGAGGGAGTGATCTGAGAATAAACAGAGAAATTATGAAATTAAATCTGAAGAAAAAAGTCATCACTGAATCACATTGGCTTAAACATCTGTTGAAAAACCTCAGTTCAGTAACAGATACTGCTTTGTGCTAGGTGTTCAGATCAGTCTTAAAATTGAGTTCAGATATTTTCCTGTGTTTACTTTTTTTGAAAACCTGCCCAACCCCTTCTCCTCAATGAACATGACATTAAGTCAGGCTCAGTCTGGTCATCTACGGCCTCAACCCTTTACTTGCTGTGGCAGGCAAGAGCCTGTTGAGCTGAATTAGGTTGATTTAAAAGAACACACAATAAAATGCTAAATACTCCGTTGCAGCTACATATATTACCACAGGATTTTATGTTTTTCATTTTCCCCCTGCGTTCCAGCTCAATCTGTGTTAAACTAGAACACAAGAAGCTGAGATTTCAGTAACTCAGGATCTTTTCATTTAAATAGTTTCTTTCCACAATAGCCAAAATATGGCATCAATCAAGGTGTCTATCACCAGATGAATGGATGAAGAAAATGTGGCAAATATACACAATGAATTATTATTCAACTATTACAAAGAGTGAAATTTTACCATTTGCAGCAAAATGGATGTAACTGGAGGACATCACATTGAATGAAATAAACAGGACACAGAAAGATGAACACTGTTATGTTCTCCCTTATATGTGGGAGCTAAAATTAAAAAAAAAAGAAATAAAAAGAAATGCCTCTGTGTATTAGTATTGCTAATTGTTGCCAAACTTTGTTTTATATTTTTGTTGAACTAATGGTTAAGAATGTTATACTACCATAGTTTTAATGATCTCTGATTACTTTGAAATTGACTGCATATAGATGAAATAGTTGTTTTTCTATTTGATTATTGTTTATAGCCCTTGCCCATATTTCTGCTAAACTAGGGTCTTTTTGCTTTTAACTTGTTGAACTTTTATTTACTGGTGCATTAAGCCCTTGAATGCAATGTAAATTAAAGATATGTTATCTGAAAATTGAAGGGGAGAAGGGGGACATGGAGAAGGGAGAAGGGGTAAAGGGGAGAGAGGGAGAAGATACTGATTATATTATTAGAATTGTATCTGTGATCTATATTGAACCTGTTAAAAACTAAAAAAAAAAAAGAAACAAAAAAAAGAAAACAAATATTTGTTTTCATTATCTTAAGAGAGCAAATGAATCCATAGACTACTTTTCTCATTACTTGGGTTTCTAGAGGATATTTCTGACTAAAAGCTCTCTATGTTTTGAAATAGCATGTTACTTTATATTCTTTGTGTTTAAATAAATATAATTGAGCTTGTGAAAGAAAATTTGGAAAATATTGAAAAGAAAATAAAAACCACCTATAGGCTTACCACACAGTGACAACCACATGAATAGTCTTGTCTGTTTCCTTCCTATTTCTCCATGTACACTTTCCAAAATTTGGTATAAGTGTTTTCAAGATTTTCATATATTGCCAAGTTGCCATCCAGAAAGATTAAATCAGTTTGCAATCCATTTTCAGTGACTAGTATGATTTTATAAAAGCAAGCTTTAAATTTGAGAGTTGAAAAATGATGCCTCACTACTGTCTTTATTTTGCTGTATCTTTCCCATGTGGTTTTGGCCAATGATACTGAGCATCGCCTTTGACTTCTCAACAACAACATGG